TAACGGCATGTGTTTAATCCATTGATTGCGCGTCGACCCTTTATGACGTCACTGAGAAATTACGTCGAACGTTTATGAGGCGAGGAACTCGTGTTTATACGGATATAGATACACATTGCTTTCAATAGTGTTATATAAAGGAAAGCATTTGCAAATGTAAATATTGAGATATATATCATTACGTAATTGTCAAAATATGTAGATGGTACAGCTGCATAGTCCTTAAGTATGAGAATAGAGTATATGAATGAAATTGTGAACATATGTCAATTAAAGATGGAACTAGACATATCTTATATGACTATAAAACATATTAATCTGTACCTTGTAAACAATGTACATCATTAATAAACAACTGACATAGTTCAGGTTATAATCATATTAAAAACTACGACACAGCATGAGATAACATGGTAGTGACCAAATAGTGTTTACTGTCCTAGCAAATACCAGTTGCAGCATGATTTAACTTACCCGATATGTATTATAACTTTGGGCTAAGACATCCTGTATAAAAATGTAGAATTCATGCACTTGTAAATCTGAAATCAGTTCCTAAAGCTAATATAATTGTCCTTAAATATCTACATGGTAGCCTTATATAACACATTCTTCTCTGTACAATGAATACTAAGTAGCCATTCTAATTTGTGCTTCTCTAACTACATTGGTTGGTGTTCTTATATATCTAGTATAGCAATCAGATGATCATCTGCCTAAAGTTTTAATTAGATGGTCTTCTATTCTAGATTTTACTGGGCACACAATTGAGTCATTTGAGTATAATACAATACTTGAGCCCTTGTGAAAATGATCTGTTTTAGATGTCTTTAAAAACATTTAAACACAATCTTTGTGAATTTGAACATCTTCACAACTTTAATGACAACATGGACCAAATCTCTGGTGAACTGTAAGTTCACCACAATAATTGATTGATTGATTGTATGTTGTTTTACGTCCCATTCGAGAATTTTTCACTCATATAGAGACGTCAGCATATACCGGTGAAGGGCTTCAAATTTTGACCTTTACTTGGCACTCAGAGCCATTGAGCAGTGAGGGATCTTTGTTTTTAAGGTCTTATCCGAAGGACCCGCAACTTTTCCTTTAAAGTGCCGAGCGCATGACGAAGGAACAGATGCTACCCATTTTTTATCGACTTAGGTCAGTCGCAGCCGAGATTCGAACTCACGACTTCCCGATCACGAAGCGAGCGCTCTACCAACTGAGCTACCGTGAACGGTTTCACCACAGCAAAAAAAAATGCAGTTACAAACGAAGCTGCTAGTAAAACATTGGTAAAAATTTTGAACATGCAATTCCTAAGAGTTGTACAAATTCTTTGTAAAATGTGAGCTGTTATAGGCAATCTAATCTTATTTTTGAATTGATCTTTGCTTTGTACTTTTCTGATTTAATTTTAACAGACACTTTTCTGAAATTAACTTCAAGCGGTCCATTGAGTGACATTTAGACTAAAAAGGGTTCGGAATTCCCATTTATATAAACGTATCTGATTCCACATAAGTATAAACGAATTGAAGAAAATTTAAGCAACAAGTTATGTTTACAATATGCTACAAAATATACAAGAATATCCTGTGTTATGGGTGGACATCTAATATCACAAACAACACCATGTATTGAAAAAATGAAATACATAGCAAGGCCGTGGTCCTCTCCCCTATGGTAAGAAATTCATCTAACAAATGATAATGAATATTTTCAATTCCATAATTGTATTTTGCAATCCAGCAAATGGCTTGTGAAAACTGATCAAATATTTTCGGTGAACTACTTCCAAAAGGGAGTCTAACAAAATAGTAAAACAATTTTTTTCCATTTCACACATAACAAGGGTCAGAATCTTGGAGCTACTGGTATCAACTTAAAAGTATCACATAATTATGTCTGTTTTGCACATTTTAGAGCTTTTTCTCAGTTCTTTAATTCTCTATATGGCATCATATATTCTAACTTTTTTCAAAGAACATTTATCTTTGTCAATCAAGTTATTAACACTGTGAATCTCCTCATTATCGTGTGGTGAAGATAAATCCAATATAAGACGCTTCTTCCCAGAATATTTACCCGTAGCCAAATTAACCTAGTGGGCTTACTCTGTATTTTGGAAATTCGAGTGTTTTGAAAGGTCCTTGCACAAATCCTTTCTGAAAGTTCTTCAACAATAACAGGGCTTTACCGAGCCGACTGTAAGTTCCTACGCATATGAATAATCAAGACTTATATCATCACCCATGAAAATATCGAATCCTTCATGAAGTCCACCGATTAAATAAGCAACAAAATGCCGGTCTGGGTGATGGCGTAATTCAAACTCTAATCTTTCTATATATACCAGTGTTGTAGCTTTGAATTCATCCAGTTCTGGCTTTCCTAGTCACCGCGGAGCCTTTTGTTTCTTTGTTTTAACGTCTGGCAGCACATTTGTGGAGCTGTTCTTTTCTGAAATTAACCTAGGACACTTCTGTTTACCATGTGATGTTGACATACAATTAGCACATACGTGTGCTCTTCTGCAGTACGACATAGAACATCTGTTAAAATTGAAGTTATTACAAATCTTCCTGCCTTCATGATGTGCAATATTGCGATCATACTTGTCTTTCCTTTGCTACTCCGCTGATGCTTGTTGTCTTTATCATCATGACTTTCAATACACATACTGGAAGTATGGGTAGTAGAGGAACAGAAATTACACTTGCTTACCTCTGCACCTGCCACAACACGCTTCAATATTTCTTCGTCTCCCTTGCCCCAATTCATAAGAACATTGTTCTGCTTTAGGGCAATAGCACATCTGGCAGCAAACAGTTTGTGGTACTCAATAATTTCGTTGGCCACACATTGTGAATTTCTATAATGTGAGCAAGGTATATGTCCAACTCCTCTTGTCTCCATGGATATGTGGCACACATTATTCTTTTACACCTACTAAAAGCAGTTACGAATTCGCTAATGTTCAAGTTCCTGCTTAATCTTTTATCTGTTTTCTCTTATTCTTATTTGGGCGTTTCGTACGATGGAATAAGTAAAGCACACATTTTAACATCTTCGCCTCTAAGTATTCTCGCATGTTTGTAGATACCAGATTGACGTGCCCTACATCTTTGGATGAGACCCTTATGCTCATGTGCTCACTGTTATTTAATGTATTATCCATACCTGAATCGCGGTTAACTTGATCCGCATATTTGCTTAGTGGATTCTCGTCTTCAGTTTCTGTAAGTCATTTACTCTTATTCTCTTTTTCCAAAAGTGTGTTAACTGTCTGTTGTAAGGCAACGCATGATTGGGCCATCGTTTGTAAGGTATCACACCGGTAATTGTTTTCACTATATAGTTCTATATAGAATAAAAAATCGTAAAAAATCAGGTATTTGAATTCATGAAAAAATATTTACAAGGAGGTGTTAAACATTACCTGTCACATTAGCTGACACCAAATAACAGGGTACCTACACGGCATTTTCTGACTTTTTCCATCTGCAAACAGGGCTACCCTCAAATCAACGTGTTTTCAATGTGTTTATAAACATCTTGAGTGCACCACAGGAAGTAGCCTCCTATGCCCTGAAAAAAATAGTTCTTGTCAAAAAACTTTATTTATTTACAAAGTACAAAAAATTTACTTCGCACAGGTACCAAAGTTGTAAAAATGGCTTGGAAGAAAATTAAAAAAATTCTCAAAAGAAAGGAAAATCCATTATATATGTATGGAACTACAATTGACTAAGTTCATTTTGATTGGTCAATTACCGGTGTGATACCTTGTAAAGTTTGCAGCAAGACGCCATTGTTGTTTTGATCCGTGACGTCATCTCCGCCCAGTGTTTGGGATTCCTCAGTCTGGTTTTCGCGCGTAGCTTTCAAGTGGTTCCTGACATTCTCTTTGTATAATTGTTTCAATGTTGTAGCATTAAATCCTTTTGGAACCTGAATGCCTAATCCCGTTAGTTTCTCTCTTAATTGAGCAATAGTCCAATTTAACGGGTTGTCCATGTCTAAATCTGGCGAAACATTGTCTACTGCAGCTATTGAAACATCGCCTACCTCCCGTTGTCTTGTAACGGATCTCCTAGCTGCTCACGGCACATTGTGTAATACACTACTCAACACTTAGAAATTTGCCAAATATTTATTCTCCCGCAATGTTTGCTTTCCTAATACATTAATCGTCAAGTTTTAAACATATCCCGTAACACTCGTCACACAATAGTTCACAGTATTTCATTTCCACACTTTGGATAAATTAAAAGTATGTGAAATCCAAAAAACGAAAGTTGGTCACAGTTATGACGATGAAATGTCACTTTACAGTATGAATTAATCACAGTTCAAGTACCCATCACAAAGATTTAGAGGTAAAATATTATTGAACTGGAAAAAAAACACTGCAGGAACGCTAACTTTGGCTAATAAATGATTCCCGATTGGTTAATTTTAATCACGTGGTTTACATGGGGTTCATAGAGGGTACTCCACTATATATAGACTAATGATATGTATTTGGAAAATAAACACTGATTATAAATATGATCACTTTCATATATTCTGTTTCCTACGCATAACGACATTAACTCGTATTTATATTTTGACTCCTCTAACCTTTCGCTGCAGAGGGTTTTCAAGATAGTGCTGGATATAATTTTTTACATACTAGTAACATTACATATTTGCTACATTTGAGGGCAAATACAGACAAGAAGATATAGGTCTACTTTAAGATTTGTTACACATTACTAAACTAACTATTTTCTTGATCCCTGAACATCCTCTTACTCTTGGGTAATGTAGTTCATCTGCAAGTTTATTTCGTTTTAGTTATAGTTTTAGAACATTGCATTTTACACAGGTGACCGTTAAGGCCCTTGGGCCTAAAGTTTAAAAGGATGAACTTGTAGGTATAATAAATAGATCTACCTAGTGCAGATTTGCAATGTTGTAAATTCATATTACATTTCCCCCAATACTAGATTACAACCCCAAACGTCCAAATACATGGCCGATGACACCTAAAGCTACAACCACTTTATTGCCTTATCCTCAAGAAGCATCTTCACAGAGACAGAGGACGAAGGTCATTCATACTCACACAGATGCTAGACAGTTGGTTCACACTATGTTGGTGAAGAAACTTCAAGAAGGAGAGATGACTATTGCAGATAACAGAGAACTTACAAAACAAATACCACTCTGGTTATTAAAGAAAGTAAGATATACATCATCATTCCCTCATATGTAGCTAACAAAATTTTAGCTATACATACTACATTTCCTCTGATAGTTTTAATTCCTTGTGTTTCTTTTAAATTTTTGCATATGATTAGTTGTCGTCTTTGAAATGAGTAATTAATACAAGCAGGGTCATTCAAAAAATACGAAGTCTTTTGTCATAACTGTTTTAAATTTAAGTTCATATTATAGCCAAATTTGGTAGACATCTTTAGCAGCAAATTCATATAATTTGAATTTTAAAAAATTAAATAATATCCTGATATTTATTAAAATTATCTAAAAATTGAGACAGTAAAATTTGGGTAACCGAGAGCACGGCCAAACTTGAGTAATCCAAAGCAATAAACTTTATAATGTGTAGAGTAAATTCTTTAATAAATGTTGTTTAAACGAAATAAAATTCAAATGTTCAAAATGTCAAATCTAGTATGTTATAATAACTTCAGATACCAATTTGTAATGTAATACATTGTTTAGTTTAAAAGAAAGCAATTTCAAAAGACAAGTAGACATTTAAAAATTGGGGAGGGGGGGGGGTTACATTAAAAGACGTCATGTACCAATGAATAACAATAACATTTTGTTTTGTATTCGGAAAACCTTTAAAACAAAGTCTGAAAATGTTTGAGGAACCAGGAAATGTATCAAAAATGCCCCGTGCATTAGTATTATAAATGGAAAAGTTTTTGAGTCTGAGAATCGGGCGATGGACGATTTATGAAGAACAGATTATAGTTAAGAGTAAATGACGTCATGGAAAGTTTTGTTTGTTTGTTTGTTGTAAAACGTCCCTCTGGAGAATTTTTCACTCATATGGAAAGCCACCACTTGCCGGTGGAGAGCTGCATATTTTTTACCTATACTCGGCACTCAGGGCCATTGAGCAGTGAGGGATCTTTTTCGTGCCAGCACCTACTGCGACACGGGAGCTCGGTTTATACGGTCTCATCCCATCCGAAGGACCCGTCTCCACGTCCCACAGTGGGATTCGAACCCCCGACGTAAGGATCACTCCTTACTCCGCGACTCTAGAGCAGACGCTCTAACCACTGCGCCACGCGGGCGACCGTCATAAAAAAAAGTAGTGTACGCTTTACTGTTGCAGAACTTGTAAAAGCAGAGTTACGCGACAAGAATTTGAATGATTGATTTATATTGTTTTCAGTCCTGTTCGAGAATTTTTCACTCATATAGAGACGTCAACAAGGGCAGTGAAGGTTCTTTATTGTGTCAACGCCTGCCGTGACACGGGGCCTCGGTTTTAATGATCTCATCCGAGAGACCCGCATCTTTCACTGCAAAGTGCCGAGCGCTTGGCAAAGGAACATTGCTACCATTTTTTCGACTTAAGTCAGTCGAGGCAGATGTTCGAACCCACGACCTTCCGATCACGGAGTCAGCGCTCTACTGACTAAGCTACATAGACGGTACAAAGAATTTGAAAACACTGACTAACTAACTTCAGCTATACAAAGTATGTGTCAAGTTAAGAATACGTTTTTATGAATGGGTAAGACGCTACAGACCGTGAATAAAATGAAAAGGCCGAGTAATTTTGAGAAACTTTATCGGTATTGTTTGTGACGGTACAATGCTGTTATTAAAGTTATGCATGCTCCGTTGTAACATGTTGATTTTAAAATTGGGTAACATGAGTTCCATTTATTCAAATGGAATGAAACTTCACATATCAACAAAAAATATTTTAAGCATATCAAAATCTCATTCCCCCACACCCACATTGTGCACCTTCTTAAAGACACCACATACATACGTAATGAAAAAAGCAAGTGCATTTAGTTACTTATAAGTTAAATCAAACATTGCCCATTTACTGTACAATTTTGTTTTACATTGAAAATTACTCTCTCAATATTTTTTTTTACTTTTGTATAAATTTAAAAATATTTTAAAATAATAATTGCTTATCTACAAACAAATTTTAAAATGATAATTGCTTATCTACAAACTTAGAAGACCTATTACCAGAGAACTATAATGTTGATCATGATATTCCTAGATACTCGGTAGACAGAGTCTTTAATGCTCAGGGTAGACAATTACTAGATTTTTGCATTGCCTCCCAGGTTCGTATTTTGAATGGTCGATTTGTTGGCGATTCTGTGGGTAATTTTACTTGTTATAAACCTAATGGAGCTAGTACTGTTAACTATGCTTTGGCCGATGTGGACCTTTTAAATAATATAATTTTTTTTTCAAGTATCTGATCCCACATATTTATCAGATCATGCAGAAATATATGTGTATATTCAGTGCAATAAGCTAAATAGTGAAGTTACTTCTAGCTCAAGAGCTTACAGTTGAAATTTCTGAAATGCTCGTAAAAATGGGAAAATATTTCAAAAACTAAATTATTAGATGCTATGTGTGATCCTAAATTATTAGAACAAATTTTATCTTATGAAAAATCAAATTATGAACAAAATGCAGAAGGTATAGATAAAGCTACAGAAGCACTGAATTCAGTTTTATAAGATTTAGCAATGAAATCATGTAAAATAATCAATTGTAAGAGAAAAAAGGCTTAAAAAAAATCCATGGTTTGACACTCAGCTTAAAGATTTGAAAAAACTTTGATAACGTTAGGAACTAAGATGGAAAATGAACCTTTTGATTCAAAAATTAGACATGATTATTTTACTCACTATTAAAAAATTTTAAAAAAATGTTAAAAAAAAAATATTTATTCCAGAAAAAATTATATGATAAATTATTGAATTGGTTCACACTATTATTGAATTGGAAAGAAACAAACCCCAAACAATACTAGGAAGTGCTTAATTCTCTCACAAGAAATAAAAGCTCTAATAATACAGCAGACATATTAGTTAACATCAAAAAAGTTATTAACCATTGTAAGACAAGGTATATGTAAAAAAAAAAAACAATAAAGAGTTTCAGAAAAGGATTGAAGATCATGTCAGTATAAAACTTTTTTAGAAGAAACCTAATTACTGACCAACCATTTACCTTCACTGTAGTTAAGAACTTAATTCATAAGCTTAGAATTAATAAAAGTGCAGGACCAGATCTTATTCCAAATGAAATATTAAAACAGCTCAGTGGTTACTTGTAAATCTATAGTTAAACTATTTAACTTAATATTGCATACTGGAGAATACCCATCTGCGTGGAGAAAATCCTGCGTGGAGAAAATCATTCATTGTTCTGATCTATAAATCTGGAGATAAGAATGACCTAAATAATTATAGAGGTATCTCAATTCAGAACTGCATAGCAAAACTTTTTAGTGCTACACTTAAATAAAAGATTAATGCTACATTTTGATAATTTATTCTCAAAACAAAAAACAAAGTTTTAACTTTTCAAAAAATATATAAACTAACTCCTGTTTTTTATTATGATAATCAACCTCTTGAAGAAGTAAAAGAATATAATTTCCTAGGAACAATAATTGATCACAAAGGTAGTTTAAACAAAGGAATACTAGAGCTGTCTAAGCTCCCTAAGAAAAATTTTCTCCAATTTCACACAATTACCTGTGAATTGGTCTTGTAAATTTTTTGACACTTTTATTCGCCCTATTTTATGCTTTAAAAGTGAAATCTGGTTTATGGATGATTATCTTCCTTCATACAGATCGAGCAATACTTAAAACAATGAAAAATAACAACTCATGTGATAATCTCGCTTTACAAGAAAAATCTGTCTACGAAAAAGTACATGCTAGATATTGTAAAACAGTTCTAGGACTCAACAAAACAGCATGCAATATTTCATCATTGTGTGAACTAGGTAGACTTCCAGTTTCTTCTTTTATTAAAACTCAAGATATGGTGTACTTTAATTTGTACGACTAAACTCTCAGAATGTAAACCCCATGATTGAAGAATCATATAATATCAATATATCTTTGTATGAAGAGGGATTTTACTCGTGGCATACCCTCGCACTGTCTATATTTAAAGAAAATAATTTAAATAGCAATGACTATAGGAAAAAAGATGAAAATTCGGTTAAAAAGAAGTTGAAGAAAATAGTACTAGATAATTATAAAGGCAAAACTATGGAAAAAGTATCCAAATTCACAGAAAACTATATTTGTACAGTAAAATAAAACACAATCTCAATATGGAAGAATAACTTATGCTTGAAAATAGTTTCAAGAATAGACAATTGCTAACTAAGTTTCGAACAAGTGGCCACTGCCTACTGATTGAAACTAGTAGACATACGAAAATACCTCGACAACAAAGATTATGCACTTCATGTAATGCTATTGATGATGAACTTCATTTCTTAGGTCACCTGAGTCACTCAGGTGACCTATTGATATCCGTTTTTGTCTGTCGTCGTGCGTTAACTTTTGAACATTGTCAACTTCTTCTCTAGAACCGCTCAACCAATTTTAACCAATTTTGGCATATAGCATCTTTAGGTGAAGGGGAACAAAAATTATGAATTTCATGGTCCCTGCCCTCCTGGGCCCCAGGGATGGTGCTAAAACCACCAAAATTCATGCAATCTTTAAAAATCTTCTTCTTTACTCCTGGACATCAAGCAGTCAAACTGTTGACATGATTGTATTAAGCATTGGGCCCTCTACCTAAATTGTGAAATTCATGGCCCCTGGGTCAGGGGTTCTGGTGCTAGGGCGGGGCTCTATTGATTATATACTGAAAAATGCATTATTTCTGTGAAAATGTTCTTCTCTGCTCCTGGATATTATATAAACAAACTAAGTGCATGATTATGATAAGCATTGATGCCTTTTCCAAAATTGTGATATTCATGGCACCTGGGTTTTGGTGTCAGGGCGGGGATCTATTGTTATATAGTGAAAATGCATTAATTCTGTGAAAATCTTCTTCTCTTCGCCTGGGTATTATTTAAACAAACTAAGTGCATGGTAATGATGCACAAGGATGCTTTTTCCAAAATTGTGAAATTCATGGTACCTTGGTCAAGGGTTCTGGTGTTAGGGCGGGGCTC